AGAACACGTCGCTAGAGAACTCGGTTGCGTTCGCTCTCGTGGTTTTGACAGGACCAACCATATATCCTCCGACGACACCTGCGCGCACATTTTTTAATGCTCGCGAGTCCGCCATCGGACTCGACTCGGATATGTGTCTCCGTTATATCGTGCCGGTACGTACAACGGTTTAAAATAATTCAGAAGCATCGCACGCGGCCCAAACGGCCACCACCACCACCACCATCGTTCTCTTCCTCTTCGTCAGTATCCTCCTCTTCGTCCTTGTCCTCGCCGACGAGAAAATAATGAATGCATGAGAGCAGGCAGGCCAACGTGTCGTGCACACGTGTTCGTGTTCGTTTGGATCCAACCCGCCCTCGCCCTCGCCCTTGCTCTCTCCCAAAAGAAAGAAAGAAAGAAAGAAAGAGCGAGAGGTAACGTCGCAACCACCATTCTACCTTGCTGACAGCGTTTCCTCCGTTACCTTCTTTTTTTTTTTCTTTTTTTTCTTTCAACCTTCCCTACGGGGAAAACGCCTCTAAATATTTACGCGGGAAGGATGAGTAAAAAGAGAAAGAGAAAGGTAGAGGAAATAAAAAAAGGGAGAGAGAGAAGGGCACAAACGCGTACCAACACTTTATTTCGCACGACCAGAGACACGTGCACGACAGCTAAAAGCGACGTCAGGACGTTTACACGAGACGACGGGGATGATGGTTTACGAGCGAACCACTGTGTCTCCGTTTATTGTTCCGAAACTCGCGTTGAGATCTTCCGGTTATCCCTAATGATGATTCTTTAAGAATAACATAGAGAAAAATTCTAAGTAGATATATACGATAGTTTGAAATATAATTTGATCAAATATTTAAACAGATATAATATAACAAGATATCTAATAAAAAAATCAATGATTGTGTCTTCAATCGACAATCTTTATTTCAACTTGTCAAATACGAAAGTTAGATATTCAGACAAAAGAGAGAGAGAGAGACACTTTATTATCGTTAACGCGAGCCGATGGTCACGTTTTAAAGTCGGCAAGGTATATTCGGTGGGTCAGCCATTCTATTTTTGGCAGTGTGCCGTCTGACATTAATCCTTAGAGACCGCAGACATAAAGGGTTAGGCTAGGCGAAAGGATATGTGGAAGGGTAAAAGAAGAGTAGGTAGGGAGTAATAGTAAGAGAAGAGAAAAGTCCGCTTCTCTCCATTTGGGTTCCTCTCACCGCGACGAAAATACCCCTTTTGTTTCTTCTAATGCCCACCCATCCCCCCATCCCTTTAACCCCCTTCATCTCTTTCTCTCTCTCTCTCACTCACACTCTCCCAACACTCTCTTCGTTTTTCCAGCCGGTTGTCTGCTCTTTTCGTCTTTTCTCTCTCAGCTCGTCGATTCAACTATTTCTCTTTTCATCCTCAACCAATCGTCCCGTCTTTCTCCTATCTCTTTTCTTCACCTCTTTCAACGACAGTACCGTCACTACCACTACCAGTACCCACAATCACTACCCACTACCACGCTACCACCGCCGCCATCACTACTACAACCTCAACGACTCACCTCCTCTTCCCAGGATAATGAAAGGACTCTCGAAACGAAGTCCATTGACGACGCAGTCGAGCCAGCTCGTTTAATCTGCTCGGAGAACAGTGGAATCCGCTCGTATATCACGCGGAAATAAAGAGTTTACCGTCCGTCGCTAAAAGCATTACGCTGTGATGTGCCACGGCGATCCGTGAAATCGTTACCGCGACTAAATGAACCGTACACCAGCGATCGTCATTATGCGTTTACCACATTTAAAAACCATTTGTGGTAATCCCTTTCTCTATGTAGGACATATGTATTGCAAAATTGCTGATTGTAGGATATGTTGGCTATTAAATGTAATAATATATTGACAAAAATAAACAAATTTCTATTATAATTCAATTATCCTTTCAATATTCTTTATCGTCATGATTAGGTATATATATATGTAAAAGTGTATGTTATATGAAAATATAATGATTTAATTAAAACAATCAAAGCATGTTTCCGTTGCTACTATAGTAAGAGAACGGTTGTAATATTGAATAATAAAAGAAAGGTTTTCAGCATTGAAATGCGCGGGATGTAAATTCATAATTTCACCGGGTAACAAAGGGAATGAGGACATTCTACATTGTAGAATGTGTACCTAGTTCCGTGCTTCTTATATCTTCAAAAGGATGATTCGCTCTACAGGAAAATTTCTCTCACAGTGAAATATACGACTGACGAGGTTTCTTTGTAACGTTTTCCTATCTAAGCGAACATGTGAATATTACGCGGTATAAACTGTTTTATCTAATTAATTGGATATTACTTTTTTTTTCAAAATCTCTCTTTTTCTACAAAATTCATTTTATTTCGTAGAGAACATGAAGAAACTTTGAGGAGTTTTCTTTTTCCCTCTCTCTCTCTCTCTCTCTCCCTCCCCCCATATCTCTTATATTCAAACAAATAAACGTGGTCTTGGTTATACATTGATCGTTTGAAAAATATCAGTATTGTCGATAGAGAAATGAAAAAAAAAAAAAAAAATAAAGTAGCAATACTAATACGAAAACATCCAATCGGAAGTCTAGACAAGCGATTTTCCAATACTCCAAACGTTTCCCTGAGTGCCGATTATCGACATGAATCGCGAATCGGTCGAATTGAAATTCCAGGAAATACGCGAGAGCGATTTAGTGTAACTGAGAGAGAAATAGAAAGAAAGAAAGAATGGGATGCTACAGGGTTGGACCTTTAAAGTCAAAGATCGTTGCTTTCAGTGAGTATAGCCATATCTGGGATGCTTTGGCGATCGTGTGGAAACTGTAAGTCGTGGACGTGAGCCATCGAGGATACGTGATCCTAAGAAGTGGACGTTCGAGCAGCACGTTCGACTATCGGTAAGTAAAGCAGGCTTACCTCGTAGCAAGCCTCTTGAAACACTTTTTAAGCTACTATCTACGATACTATAACATCGAGCAAGCGTTCGTTCCTTCTTTAGTCTTCTCTAGGGATAAAACGCATCCAAATCTCATTCATATTACAATATTCATCCTTTTGAAGAACAAAAAATTAACAAAATCGGACAACGAATATCTCATATGCCGAACGTTTTATCGATTATTCATTTATTAATCCATTTGATCCAAAATATTAATCAATATTGTTGAATTAATATTAATTAGTAATATTAAGTATTAATTAATGTAACACTTATATAAAATATATATATATAATATCTAAACCTATTATATAAAATTTCTAATATCATTTCTATTGGATGAAAGAAAATTTAAAAAAAACAAAAAAGGAAACAAATAAGTATCTTAAGATATAACAACTCCCACCAAAGCCCAGGAGTTTTCCAGTAGTGAGCTTGCAAGCGTGCTCGACTGAGAAAGAACACGAACAAGCGAACATCTCACCGGCTACGCGTTTTACGTGTATTTCCGTTTTCGTTTTAATTTCATCGCTCTGTTACGTCCGCCCGAAAAAATGTTGACCGCGTTGTCGTGCCAAAGACATACCGCATCGTCTTCTCTAAGTGCGAGCATTTTTGCGTGTGTCTCTCTGCATTATGCATGCTATATAAGGACGACATTACTGTGCATCCATTTCGAGATCCACGCTTTTTTCTCTTTCTTTTTTTCTCTTTCTCTCTCTCTCTCTCTCTCTCTTTCTCTCTCACTCTTTCTTTATAATCCAAACTTACATATTCCAAAAATCTTCCATTTAATTTTTATCTATATTCATATCCACACACACCTTTTTTCTTTTCTATTTGTTTTTTACCCCTTTTTCTTTTCTATGATTTTGTTTTCATTACGGAGATTACAAATAAAGTATTGGAAGGATAAAGATTATCGTGAAAAATATTATTCAGTACAAACGACGATGTAAAACCATATAGTGAAAACAAAAAAACAAAAAAACAAAAAAAAAAGGAAAAACATTCTTACAAAGAAACGTGTTCAATTGTGAAGATATTGTCGCGTGTACATACACACAGTATCCTAAAGTAAATATATTTTTATATACGTTTACGAAAATAAAATGACGACTGTCGTGAACAGTCCATCGAGGAACAGTCAAAAGTAGGTCTCACGCGAACTATTCTTTTTCATTTTAAATATGAACCAGAGAACTGTACAAAGATTATCTTTTGTCAGATAATACTTCACGCGGAACGCACTGATCCATTCTCGATACCGTCTGATACGACAGTTTACTCTTATCACAAATTTCCTAAAGACCATAATCCGTTGCATTTTGTTTTACAGCCAGTTTTGATCTTAACTCTTTCAGGTATGCAAGTTTTATGAAAGTATTCCAATCTGCCTCCGTCACTTTTTGCAGTTTCAATTTTAATGTAATTACAATATACAGAAAAAAAATGAAACTTATAGCAACCTTGAATCCAATAAATCGATGCAAATGAGATGTTTAGGATATAAATATGAAAATAAAATTTTAAGTTAAAGAAGGGATTCCTACTAAAAATTAAAAGTATCTAAATAAAAAATCTTTCATATCAATTTCTTGTTAATTCTACGATTGTTCAATCGAAAAATGACTATATGCATACGAACTTGACATCAACTTGATGTCCATATTGATGTTATCACAAAAGAAAGTGTTAATCAAGATCCTCGTATAATTTTTACCTTCCTATTTATGAAATAAATCAATCATATAAATTTATGTTCTTCAAGAACTCGTTAATTTATCCGTAAAAGATATTTTATTTTTTAAGATGTGTAAAATCTTAATGTTTAAACGTACAAGATAGACTAAGAAATTCAGAGATAATTGGATCTAATCGGTGACAATCAAAGAAAACATAACGATTGTCAGCTTTAACGTAGAATTGACGAACTATACTATAAAGTACGGAGAGTTATCATGAGGCTAGTTGCAACTTGAAGACTATAAAGGTAACTCGTCATCTTCCATTTCCTTTATCCGTCTTTCCCATTCTGCACCTGCTGAAAGAAACATGGACGAAGCATCGAATAGTCCATCTACAGATCATTGGTGAGATTGAATTTAATCATTTTTTGGTTTGAAATAATCGCAATATCATTTTCATTGTATTAAACAAAGCTTTACTATTCATTATTAGCGATACTGCAGCCCCGAAATCTTTAAAAAATGAAGTAAAACTAAAGTATCAAATAAAACGTAAAAAACGTAGCTGTGCTCTCATATTCTGTCACGAACTGTTCTATCATAATTACGAGGAACCGCGAGTTGGAGTCGAAAAAGATTGCAATAGATTAAAATCTCTGCTGCAAATGTTTAAATTTAAGGTAAAGATTTATAAAGATCAAACAGTGAACAAAATATTGGATACATTAGAAAAAGGTAATAATTTATTTACTAAATCCATCAAGTAAAACATTTAATTTAGAAATATTTTATTCGATCACTAAATATGTCACTTTTCAAAATCTCGTATTTACACAACGAGTAAAATATCTAACTTGACTGTACGTTTTATCGATAAAACTAATTATGAATCATTCTAAGATATCTCTATAAAATGTGGAAGCAATGAATTCGTACAAATTAAGTGATAAATTGTTTTCCTATATACTGAATCTCATAAATGAAACCTCATTTTTTATGCCGATGAAATATCCTCTACTATTTTTAATTTAATTAAATCTTTTATTTTTATAGTCTCAAAAATGGATCATTCCGATAAAGATTGTCTTCTAATTGTTGTATTGACCCATGGTAATTCAGGCGTACTTAGTGCATTCGACAAGCAATATGATATCATCGATCTCTGGAATCCATTTTCAGAAAATAATTGTCCTTCTTTAAGAGGAAAACCTAAACTATTCTTTGTACAAGCCTGCCGTGGTAAAAAGGTTGATTCTGGTACCGAGTTACAGTCCCAGGAAGATACGCAATTTAAAAAACAATTATCATCAATGAACAGTATACCGGATGGAAATTATTCCGAAAACAGTTCGAAGGAACATGAAGCGTTTAATACACCAGATGAACAAGATTTCTTGATAGGATACTCTACTGTACCAGGTTGTATATTATAATAGTTTGTATATTATAATTATTTCCATAATTATTAATAATCGTTAAAAATAAATCGATTATTTTATTATTTAGATTACATTTCGTATAAAACATTGAGTGGATCCTGGTACATTGAAGAAATTTGCTCGATATTTCGAAGATATGGAAAAAATTACGATCTATTAACTTTACTAACTTTTGTCTCTCAACGTGTCGCTCTAAATCATGTGTCTTGCAAATCAATAGATCCTAAATATGAGGACAAAAAGCAAGCTCCGTGTATTGTAAGTACATTAACTAAGCTATTGTATTTTTTCCCTGAAGAAGCTGAAGAAATACCAAAGGATTTGGAATTGGAACCGAAGAAATTATCTTCGAAAAATAATAAAAAAGATTTGATGGCATTACATCTATTTTAACAGTTTTTGAACAATACTTTTGAACGCTAATGATTTGATACTAAGCAATAAAAGCCAAAAATTAATTATTTATATAATTCAAGAAGTTACTGAAAGGAAAAGAAGAACATCCTCGTCGTTACTAAAAGCTACATAATTGTTGACTATTTTGTAATAGCAGAGTCGAAAATTATAAACAAATACACGGAAGTGAGTTTTTCCTTCGTTTTAATTCGAGGAGACTATTCCTAATATTCTTTAATTGTCATGACACGGCTTATTTTTTTCCAAATTGAATCTTTCTGTTCTATTCTTTAGTCGAACTGTTCCAGAAATTTATTATTTTATATTGTAAAATAAATAAGAACCTAACAACAATGTACTAATCACACAAAACTGTTTTCTGATTTTATAAATTAGAATCTATTCAGATGATCACACATTACATATACAAAAATTAATATAAAAAGCATATATTAAATTATATTATATTATAATTTATTATATTACATTTAAAAAAATTTGTTTACTTTGTTATTAAACTGTAAATAAATAAATGTCTATCTGTCGATACTTTATATTATTATTATACCATATGAAATGATGTAAAGTGCATGTACTACACAAAATGTCTTGATTAAAAATATATGAATAAATGTAAATAAAAATAAATATTGGTGCTAAAAGTATTGAATATTTAAATATAGAACATTTTAATTTATTATAAACTCATATATGTTTAACCGAGAAATTGCTATATACACTTATACGTGACTCCAGCAATTGACAGTCAGTTTTTATATAAGCAATCATATTGATGTTATTAGCAAAGAATGTGTTAATCACAATACTTATATTCTTAACCTTCATATTCATGAAATAAGTAACCTATGCAAAACTATTTTTAATATTTGTTAATTTAACCATGAAAAATTGTATTTTATGATTTCTTATAAGCAATAAAATGCTTCCTATAAAATTTTGCACACACACACAGAGCATAAAGCTTAAATGTACAAGGAAGACTAAGAAGTTCGGAGAAAATTGAATCTAATCGGTTATAATCCGAGAAAATAGATAAGGCGTTTCAAGCGATTAACAGCTTCAACGTAGAATTGTGTAACTATATTATAAAGTACGGAAAATTATCTTGGTGCTAGTTGCCACTTGGAGGCTATAAAGGTAAATCGTCCTCTTCCATTTTCTTCATCCGTCTTTCTATTTCTGCACTTGCTCAGAGAAAAATGGACAAGGCTTCGACTAGTCAATCTACAGATCATTGGTGAGATTAAATTTAATCATTTCTTGGTTTGAAAAAATCGCAAAATCATTTTCATTGTATTAAACAAAGCTTTACTATTTATTATTAGCGATACTGCAGCCACGAAATCTTTAAAAAATGAAATTGATGTAAAACTAAAGTATCCAATACTACGTAAAAAACGTAACTGTGCTCTCATATTCTGTCACGAAGTGTTCGATGGAAATATCGAGGTAAAGCGAGTTGGAGTCGAACAAGATTGCAATAGATTAAAATCTATACTACAAACGTTCAACTTTGAGGTAGTGATTTATAAGGATCTAAAAAGGAGCAAAATATTCGACACATTAAGTAAAGGTAATAATTTATTTACTAAATCCATCAAGTAAAACATTTTATTTAGAAATATTTTTATTCGATTATTACATATGTCACTTTTCAAAATTTCGTCTTTACACAACGAGTAAAATATCTAATTTGACTGTACGTTTTATCGATAAAAATAATTATGAATCATTCTGAGATTTCTGTATAAAATGTGTGGAAGCAAAAAATTCGTACAAATTAAGTGATAAATTGTTTTCCTATATACGGAATCTCATAAATGAAACCTCATTTTTTATGACGATGAAATATCCTCTACTATTTTTAATTTAATTAAATCATTTATTTTTATAGTCTCACAAATGGATCATTCCGATAAGGATTGTCTTCTAATTGTTGTATTGACCCATGGTAATTCAGGCATACTTTGTGCATGCGACCATCCATATGACATCATCGATCTCTGGAATCCATTTTCAGAAAATAATTGTCCTTCTTTAAAAGGAAAACCTAAACTATTCTTTATACAAGCCTGCCGTGGTGATGATGTTGATTCTGGAACCGAGTTACAGTTTGAGGAATATACTCAATTAAAACAACGAGTATCATCAGAGATCAGTTTACCGGATGCAGGAGCTTACAAATTAAGTCCGAAGGAACTTAAAGCGCTTCGTACACCGGATGAACAAGATTTCTTGATAGGATACTCTACTGCACCAGGTTGTATATTATAATAGCTTGTATATTATAATTATTAACATAATTATTACTAATCGTTAAAAATAAATTGAATATTTTATTATTTAGATTACGTTTCGTATAAAACAGAATGTGGATCATGGTACATTGAAGAAATTTATACGATATTTCAAAGATATGGAAAACATTACGATCTACTAACTTTACTAACATTCGTCTCTCAACGTGTCGCTGTAAATTATGTGACTGAGAAGTCAATAGATCCTAAATATGAGGACAAAAAGCAAGCTCCGTGTATTGTAAGTACATTAACTAAGCTATTGTATTTTTTCCCTGAAGAAGCTGAAGAAATACCAAAGGATTTGGAATTAGAACCGGTGTAACTATCTTTGGAAAATAATCAAAAAGATTTGATGGCATTACATCTATTTTAACAGTTTTTGAACAATACTTTCTAACGCTAATAATTTGAGACTAAGCAATAAAAGCCAAAAATGAATTATCTATATAATCCAAAAAGTTCCAGGAAGAAAAAGCTAAACATCCTCGTTGTTACTAAAAGCTACACAATAGTTGACCATTTCATAATAGCGGAGTCTAAAGTTATAAACAAACATACGAAAGTGATTTTTTCCTTCGTTTGATTTAATGATGGCTATTCTTAATAATATTTTTCAGTTCTATAACAGGACTTGCTTCTTTCGTACTCTAATCTTTCTGTTCTGTTCACTATTCTAATTATACTCTAAAGTTATTATTTTACGTTGTAAAAATAAACTGAAACAAATAGCAACATATTAATTGAAACTGTTTTTCTGTTGGATAAATTCGAACTTATTCATTTGATCATATCAAATGTATAATATTTTATATGGATTGTATATACAATAATTATATGTTCACCAGCAACAAATGTAATATGAAATAAAATAATTAATATTTAATAAATCTTCAATTATAATCGTATCTTTTGATTTTTTATTCTTAAATAACTGTTTATTATACTATATTGAAATTCTTTAAAATTGATCTAACTAACTCTCTTTACTACCAATTGCGATAATATTCGCTTGAATGGATTTAAATAGGATATCCTATAGATATGTTCTTTATATCTAAAACGTCAATGTATTCTACATTTTCACGTTTCTGAAAATAGTTGGATATTTGTGTTTTAGTACGGACGGTCAGCGTATCTGTTTAATCGGTAGGTTCGAAGATTTATAGCATGGTACACACCGTTACGTTTCACCGTTCAAAATCATTTTTCGATTGATTATCGTTGTCCGTTCATTTTTTGTTTCTTTCTTTATTTTTTATTTTCCGTTTTATCTTTCTATTTTTTTTTTTTTTCTTTTTCATTTCCATTTTTTATCTTTTCTTTTTGTTCGGCCCATTCTTTTGCGTGGCTATCACGGGAAAAATGTTTCCATTCGCGTTTCTATTTTTATATATGCGACCCATTGATTGTATCCATCTGATAGTACACTTTACGTACATGTATGCATACATATCTACACCTATACTATACTATATATATATATATATATAAAGCAGCCTCCGGCATACGGTCAGGCAAAAGAACTACGCTTTCTGGACCCCAGTGAAAAAACTTCACATTTTCGCATCTTCAAAGAGATCGGTCTGTTTTTACACTTGTTTCTATGCATTAAATACGACCACCAATATACTTCATTTTAATATTAAAATATTTATGATAAAATTTCAAAGTGATCAAAATAATTTATTCGAAATGAAAAAGTATCTTTACACTAATTTTTTCGTCAAATTTAGATTAAATCTATTCAGCCGTTTAATGAATAATCAACCTTAAAATTTGTATAATTAAACAAATACCATTTTGTAAATTTTTCAATAACTAGTCGACTATTTCAGACACATACACACACATAGTTATTTTTGTTGAATAGAGCATATAAACTGTGTGAGATTCGTTTTTATAAATGTTATAACTATGGGCGCAAAAAGTTTTTACGAAAACAGAGGACACGTATACGTTTATGAAATGTCATGTACAGAACTTCAAAGAAAATTGACAAATACCATTTCTATCAAAAGTTATAGCAAACAAACACTTTTCGCGATGGCGATTACATAAAACACTCCTGAAATTTATTCATAGAAATATAAACTATGAATCTTAAGTTCGCAAAAATAATATCCTTCAACTACGACAACAATTAATTGACTATCAAATAATGATAAACTATATAATTAATCATCTATTTGAATTAACTACAAATTTCTATGGAAAACGATTTGAAAAAATAATCGTCTACCCATTTATAAAAAATCACCAATGACTTCTCGTTTTTATTTTATAATATTTTATCTTACTCAAAATACAAAGTAAAAGTATTTTACGTTACAATAATTCCTGATAATACTTATGTCGGAAAATTGATAACAATGGAAACACTTATTATATGAAGTTGTAACTTAATCAAAATTCATTTTTTAAATCACGTCGATTAGATAATTTTAAGCTCACAATTTAATAAGAACTATACTTTTCCTTACTCAAGTTCTGAAAACTCTTGTTTAACATCTTGTATACGTGAAATCTATAACATACCTTTACGATTGCCGGTATCGATAAGCAATAAACGAAATAAACTGGATATGACTTTGAATGATAACTTGTCAAGATAAGATAAATAATCCATTCCTAGACAATACGTCTCTGTGATCTGTTGCTGATTAGATTCCTTATTTCTAGTATTGTATCAAATAGCCCAGTCAATAAGAGGTGAAGGAAAAACTTTCAGGTAGAAGTTCTCGACAGTTTGATACAAAGGTAATTCGACGTCGCTGA